AAAAAAAAATGAACCTGGTAGGTGCTATGGTGTGAACACTTATCTCCTTCAAAACTTGTGTGGAAGTTTAATCTTCAAGGTGGCAGTACCAAGAGTTGGGGCCTTGAAGAGCTTAAAGAGGTGATTGGTCATGAGGGCTCTGCCTTCATGAATGGATTCATGATGAGAAGGACTGGTGGCTTCGTAAGGGAGGAAGAGAGATCAGAGTTAGCATGTTAGCACGCTCATCCTCCTTGACATGTGATGCCCCCTCAGGACTCTAAGTCCCCACCAGCAAAAAGGCTCTTACTAGATGTAGACCCTTGACCTTAGACTTTTCACCCTTCAGAACTGTATGAAATAAATCCTTTTCTGTATAAATTGCCCAGTTCAGATACTCTGTCATGAGCAACAGAAAATGAACTAATATAGTGGGGCCTGGTGACCAGCCAGACATGTAGTAGCAAAGCTCAAACACTCAGACAGCATGTCTGCCCAACACTGCACTAAAGGTGTCTGCCTTAGAGCACAGACAAACTAAGTGTGGGGTGGGGGTTAGTGGAAGCTATAATCTACCATTTACATTTCTTGAACTAATAGATTATCTAACCAACTTTAACGTGTAATTTAAGAACCTGGGTAGTACTATCAACTTCACTTTGCCAATGGTAAGTCAAATTTATTTTTTTTTACTTCAGGATAATGTGAGGGTACAAACAACCAAATCACAATATTTGAATCTGTTCAAAATTGAATCTGAATACAAGAGGTAGAGTCCCTCTTGTAGCTCTGTCCTGCGCCCAAAGGTGTGCTATACACTCCTATGTTACTCCCACTGAATGGACTGGCCGGGGCTGGGTTTGAACCCAACCTCTGGCATATGGGGCCAGCGCCCTACTCCTTTGAGCCACAGGTGCTGTCCTATTCCAATTATTTTTTAGGGACTTTCTTTGTCTTGATAAACTTAATAAAAGTGGATGGCCTTTGCTATTTTTAAGGTCTCTCTACAGTCCATGAGTATCACAATATTAACTTCAAAAAAATTCAAAAGAATTTGTTAATGCTAAATCTGCAGTGAAATAATCTTATAGAATAGCAACACTTGCAAGCAAATCCATGTCTGAACAATTCACTCTGGTTTAGCCAAACAAATACCTGTTTTAAAATGTCTAGGGAGAACCACAATAAAATATCCAAAGTCTAAGAGGCACAGTCACTCCTTTGCTTGACCTTCTCTTCTTTCTCCTTTCTTCCCATTATAAGCAGTAAGTAGGCCAAGTAACTAGAGTGAGGAGTTTGCTAAAAAAAGCAGATTGAGACCAAGGAGGAAGTTAAGGCCAAGGGAGGTTGAGGATGAAGAGAGAGGTCAGGGTTAAGCACTGGCCTGAGACCACAAGGAGATCAAGGAGGTCTGCAGGCCAGGGCCAGCACTGGCTGGTGGTGCTTGTCACACACAGGGAAATAAGCAAAGAAGTGAACGTACTCAGAATAATGGCAGCCTTTTCAAATGTGTTAACAGTGAGAGAAAGGAATTGTAAATGTGGAAAGGGCATAGGCTAGAATAACTCCAGATATTGGATCGGAACTGGAGGTATTAGTGTGAACTCAGGGTTTGTAGAACAAGAGATAACCAGAGATATAAAAATTCAAAGATGTGGCATAGCGCCTGTGGCTCAAAGGAGTAGGGCGCTGGCCCCATATACCAGAGGGGTGGGTTCAAACCCAGCC